CATAAAATCAACAGGTCATTACCAAGACCTCTGGTCATCTGTCTTCCAGTTTCTTCCTCTCTGAACTAGTTTATTCTGGTTGCTTTTAACCCTTTTGCCTTGAATTGGATGCATGCCCTTAGTCATAAGAATAGGTTCCAAGTCATGCTATCCTGCTTTTTTGAGAGACTGAGGGGTTGGGCCAGGACCAAGGTGCTGTAAACGAGATGCTCTAGGCCCCCACTTGCTGAACCAGGTCTACCTGGGTTCCTTCGCTATAGCAGGAAGCTCACTTCATGTCTCTGCCAACCACCTAAAAGATGAGACCTCCTTTGGTGGTGGCCACAGTGGTGCTCAGATCTTCAGCTCCCTTGCAAAGCCATGCCATCCTTGTCTTGTACTGAGGTGACAGGGCTTTCCTCCCCAGCCCTACAACAGCCAACACAACAAATGTTTATTGTGTGCTACTATGTGCTGGGGACACAGGGATGTACACTACTCCCAGAGAGGTAAGTTTGGCAGGAGAGGCATCCTCATCCATGAAAAGGGTGTTGTCATCACAGATAGTAACAGTTCCTGCCTCACAGGATACCACGGGGTTAAGTGAGATAATGCAAGCAATATGCTGAGAGCCATGGCTCCCACAATAAGGGCTTAATATCCTGAGTTGTGGGGTGAAGACTTCACAGGAAGTACAGTGGAGACCCAGACGAGGAGCCCCTAACTCAGAGGGGTGGCAGCCAGGGAGGTTCCCAGGGATGAGATGCATCTGCCTCCTGCCCCATTCCCTGGGACTGGGCTCCTTGGACCCACTCCGGTCCAGGGACGAAATGGATGACAATTGCCAAGCCTGGGTCTTGGCCTAGCTGACACCAAGTCAGACTGTGGGTCCCACTCACAACCTGGCCATGCCCCGCAGCCCCCTCAGAGAGGAGCCCTGGGAAGGCCAAGGCCTTGGAAGGAAGAATGTGTGGGGAGGGACCATGCAGGCCTTGTGGCAGGGAATCACCAGGAGAAGGTGCTCCTCTCTGGAGCAGAAAGCGGGGTGTGTCCAACTTACAGTCTCTGGCCAGGCGCAGCCTATGGGCTTGCAAGAAAAGCTCAGGGGAGGGCAAGGAGGCCCCCACAGGATCAGGGATGGTTTACAAACCCCAGAGCCAGGGGAAGACCTGGGCGGGGGAGTTGGGTGGAGGTTGGGAAGGGATCAGGGATGCTGACAGCCTGGAATCCAGGTCCAGAATCCAGGGGTAGAACTAAGGAAGACACCTGGGCTTCCAGGGTGGAACAGGAGGCCAGACCATGGGCAGGTTCTGCCTAGGAAGAAAGGCAGCATTTGGTAAAATCAGGCTGTGGGGTGGCCCCTGTCTCCAGGACAGTCCCCTCTGCACCACTCTCTGAGCATGACCAATTTTGCCGTCATTTATCCACCTAAATTCCCCTTAAAACTCTTTATAGCCCTTCCTAGTTATGTGATTAGGGGCGGATTACTGAACCTCTCTGAGCCTCTGGCTTTCTTGTCTGAAAAAACAGGGTTGAATGAGAGGCAATGCATTTACCGCTCTTGCCAGCATGGTGGGCCCAGAGTCCTGCTCAGAAGATGGCAGTTGTTGTGGCTCCCCCACCCCCAGCACCATCTTTTCCTGTCAATTCTTCCTCATTTATGCTTTAATTTCTTTGGTTCTGGGCCCACCAGCCTGTAGGGAATTTGTTCAAAGTTCTTATTCCAGAGAATGGAGACAAGGGGGCCAGTGAGCAGACTGCTTTCTAAACCATCCCAAAGCTATTCCAGGTAGAAGGAAATAAGCCTGGGATGGGAGGTGACCTTGAAAGTGACACAGCTGGGGGTGGGAGGAGTCTTTGCAAACATTCCTATGGAGGCAAACTCCCCATCCAATGGTATCCATCCCTGGGAAATATAAAAAGGAAAGTACAGAGAAAAACCAACATCCAGACCCACAGCTAATTGAGTTGCAGGTGGCTGCTGGAGACAGACCCATTTGACTCTCCCCTTCCTTCCCCCAGAGTAGCCTTCAGGTGACAGCACAGACCGGCCGCCTCTTGCAGGGAAATCAGGACTAGAGGGGGAAAGAACTGGGGAGGTGGGTGGCAGGAATGAGGAATTAGGCAAAGAAAAATGGCCTGCAAAATGCAGAAACACCCCAGCATGCTTGCTTCCCAAACCTGGCCCATGAATCGAGGGGTGACAGGTCTCTCATCTCTGATGCCAAGAGCCAGGAGCTCTGGGCAGCCGCAGGTACTACATCTGCACCTGCCAGCTCTTGGAAAGAGGCAATAAAGCACAGTAGCAGGGCCTGGAATGCTAAGTGCCTGCAGCTGGGAAGGGATCGCCTTGCAGCGAGAGCAGTTCACGGCAGACATCCACTGGGCCCACTCTGAGACTGGCCCGTGCATCCTCACCTGCCCTGGGCAGCCTGCTGCTGGGGGCTGGGGCAGTGGGCAGAGGAGGAGGCAGACCAAATGCACGTGGAATCTAGCCCTGAGGGCTTCCCTGGGCCAATGCTGGCCCAGACAGACAGGGATCTTCTGGACGAAGCCCAAGTGGGCTGGCTGATTTACTGAGGCTGGCAGAAAGTTGGGATGCTTGAGTCACTGGTAAATAAAAGTGGATCATAAAGCACCCTGGCTAAGCCAGACGTCTGGAAATACACCAGGGCCAAATGCAGCTTAGAAGTGCAGGCCCCATCCCTCAAATGATAATAACGATAATGTCTCTACAGCACTCACCGTAGTGGTGCCAGATTCTGTTCTAAGTGCTGTATGAGTATTAATTTACTTAATCCTCACAACAACCCTAAGAAGTTGGTGGGAGTATTATCCTCCTGTTACATACCTGGAAGATGAAGCAGCACAGAGAGGCCAGGGGACTAACAAAGGCAGGGTTTGAACCCACTTAGTCTGTTTCCAGAAGCCCTGCCCTCGCCGGTGCTTCCCAAGCTCTACTGTGCCTGCCAGTTGCCAGGGTGGCTTGTTAGCAGCTCCTGACTCAGTGAGACGGGGGGCCTGAGACTGCATCACTAACACGCTCCCAGGCGATGCCTGGTCCCAGGACCACACTTTGAGTAGGATGCTCTAAACTACTACACCAGTTCTCATGACAGCCCTTCAGCTGTACGCACTGCTCTGGACCCTGAAGGCATCTCTTAATTCCTCAGTTGACAGAAAGAGGCCCTCACAGGGTGTCAGAATCAAGGGGCTGAGCTAGGGTTGAAGGAGGGGGTATGAAGCCTTACAATGTCCACACTTTACCTCGGCCTCATTCAATCAGAACCTCTGGGGTAGAACCAGACTGGAATTTTTTTAAAGCTCACTAGGCGATTCTGATGTGTAATCGTGGTAGAGCCCTTGAGATAAGACACTAGGGATGCTTCAGTCAGTGTGTCAGATTTATTGAAAGTTCTGTGGGGTTAGTTCAGGGATTTCAAAGGTGCTTTCAGAAAAGGGGTGTTGAGTCGCCT